TAAAAAGTATCAAAAATCAACTGATCAAGTCATACACAATAGTTGTTCTGAGAGAATGAAGGTGAGCGATGAACACGTTTGGGACTACTGACTTGTGCATAACATGTCGGTACGAGTATTCCTAAGAAGAAACCAAGAAGGAACGAATCGGCAATTAGTTCGGATGCGGTGATAACGAAAACTGCTGCAGACTCGAACCGATGAGCAGTTAGACGCGAGTAGATCAAAGCCGCAAGAACAATAAGATTGATGAGTACACCAGCAAATGCAGTGATTGCAAATATCGTTGTGATCACTACTGACAGCACCATCAGTACCGCACTCGAAAATATGCAGCCACAGATGGAATTGTGAAGAAGCTTAGCAGAATTGTTCAAATTACTGTTGACACGTGAGATCGGATGACTTTCATGACGTCAAACAAGAAAGAATGTGGTTGAGTGTGGAATGGACAAGCTTCGTGAAGAATATCGCAAGTGTTGACGCGTTGGTGAAGATCTTGCAGCATTTGCTAATCAGTTCTATCCGAGCTGATCACGCTCAGTTCGAACTTCAGTGCTACAAAATAACTAACAATAGTATGTGCCAATAGACGCTATAGTTAGAGATTTTTGAAATGCGACCCGAAGAAACTAAAACCTTCGGACGCTAAAAATTAAGCTCACGCTGTGAAAAAAATGTGAAGATCTAAAAAATCTTGCGAAGATCCTCTTAAACCTCTAAGCGAAGGCGTTATACACATCAATGTTACCTCGTCGGTCGTTCGCCAAGATCTCGCTATCGCAAAACAAATANCTGAGCAAAGAGCTCGAAGTGCTGATGCAGATATCGTGGTGCCGTTGATAACGTAGTCGATCGCTAAGATGGCGTGTCAGCACGATAACACATTTATAGCATTTCGAATTTGGAAACATCAGTATTGTAAATTTTTAGAGAACAGAAAATACAGTGCAAGAACTCGAGTTGACTTATTCGCAAATTTTCAGTTATAAATGAATTTTTCGCGACATAAAAACTGACAAGTCATGCTTTACGGGTGATCACATAACATCCAAATTCGACAAAGAACGAAATACTGATCAATCATCCAAATTCACACAAGAAATTTCAACGAAGAGCAAGAAACACGAAACTTTTTGCGAACTGAAATCATTATTTTTTCAACTATTCCTCACAATATGAACGTGATTCACATACGTCGAAGAAGTGCGCAAGAGAAGATTGAGATTGAATGGGAAAAGTAGACAACAGTTCTGTGCTGAGTTGAGATTAATTCTGAGGCGCATGAAAAGGAATGTCTCAAACGCGATTGACAAAAATAACTACAATTGTTGTTGTTCAACTGGCTTTGATTGGGTGCAAAAGTACAAAATGTTTGTAACTAAACATTTCAAAATGAGGAATTATATTTCAGAGCGATTGCCTTGCAATCAATTTCGACCTGCAGAGGAATTTCTCGAAGATTTGAACCGTAAAGTAACGAACTGATTAATAGACAAACGCGTTTCGGTCACTTGGCATTATTTCGAGGTGCGCAAACAAAACAACATCGAAGACGTTTCATTTCGATGATATCTATCGAAATGAAGCGTCTTCGAAGGTGGAATAACGAAAAGAATTTTAATGCGCAAATACTTTTCATCTACATCATCGCTGCCTTAATGTGATCTAAATTGATTGAAGGATTAAACTGATCGTTGTTGGAGGGTACTGTCTGTTCTGAGTGTAGTCGATATCCGAAGGAACGGAGTGTTCGCCTGTATGTGAAAGGAATGAAATGATGATGTGCTAGGCGAATGGATGATGTATATTTGCATTTGATATAATAAAGATTTCGAGTGTTTATGATGAATAATGAAGTTATTTTTTTTGTAACCGAAATTATTGGGAAGGATATGCGTTTAAGTTAGAATTTTTGCAATATAGATCATGCAGGATGATATGTGCATTTGCCATGGTTGCATCAATGACTTCATGTATAATGTGTAGTTGGATTTAAATTCCTTAGATTGATCCGTAGAGATATATGGATATGATGATCACTCTCGATGGATGTGATTTGGTTGAATGATTCGGCTAGGCGTCTGCTTCATTTTTTACGCTATTTTTTGATTTATGGACAATGTAGACGTCTGTAAAGTCTGATCCATGTATGAATATATCTTTATTCAGTTACACAACTACTATTAATGATCAGCCGACATATCGCTTTTTCATCTACAGTCGTCCAGATTCAGAAATTTGATAGTGCATCAATTATGGGTATAAAAGCTGATAGGCTATCGAACTTATGCAGCTGGCCTAAGTTCAGATGCACAGTAAACAGAGGCGAAATTTTACTGATTTGTATACATATGAAGTCACGCACAATAATTACAAGATATATCGATCATGAATTTATATCAATATTGTTAAACGCCGGGGCATATCAACGTGATCCAACTCTGAGCACCGTTACGACGATTGGGTCTGCTAATGAACCGTGAAATAGCTTGAACATATGATAAAATTTCCTTCTGACCTGTAATTTCAGTTCGCAATTCTTGAGAATTTTCAATCGTTGACATCCAAAGCTTCTAATTATCACACAGCGTTTCATTTACAGAGTAACTAATACACTCTGTTACATCACCAAAATTGAGGCACAGAACTGATCACAAAGATGATCGAAAAACGAGAGGAAAACCACATGTGTGCTTGCCTCAAGATAATACTTTTACCATGATCGGTCTGAACTTCACGACAGATCTCGCAAAGAAACTTACCCGTGCATTCCCGATAAACATTGTGAAACCGGCTGTGGAGTAGTTCACTGTATTTAAAAAGGTACTTATTGCGAACATCCGAGAAGGAAGAGGCACTATTGCAAGAAGCCTGAAATCAATCTTTTTTGTGGCATCTGCATTCATATCTTTGATGTGTCCTCCAGATTAGAAATTCTTCTTTCCGCATCGAATGCCATTGATATCAAGCCGATGAATTTCCGTGAGATTTCTCCATCCTGTGTCCCATTCAATCATCAAATTATTTCAATNCTTTTCAATTATCTGAATACTAGAAACAATTTCAGATACTCACGTCATTACAATCCACGTGAATGTATGTACAAAAGTGATTGCAAAAAACTGTAACGCGTATTTGTATTCTTTGTTCCACGCTTCATTCGTTCGTTGTGCCATGCTTGAACGTTGTGCGCGAAGTTTTTCAATTTTAAAAATAATCTGAAAGTTTCTATACTAAAAAACTTAGATATTTGGTTACGTTGCTTAGAACACATTGCTTAGAAGATATTTCAAAATGATTTGGTTACGTCCTGAATGCATGGAGCTAGCACTTTTGGACGCGCATTAGGCGAAATGTTCATTAGGCGAAACAGCATTAAGCGAAATTACTGGATACGCAGAAAAACTGATGATACTGCAACGAAAAGAGTTCAATTGAATACAAAGCGGAATGTTCATTGTTAATGCATGTCGCAAAAAACTTTCATGAGGTCGTAAGCGCACAAGTAACGCGGAAAAGGTTCTGATTCTGGGCTACGGGCAATTTGAATTTCTCGAGAATTCCCCAATCAGTGATCACCCAACCAGAATAACTGGCCGAAAGAAAGTGCAATTATATTAACGAAGTGACTTCCTTTTCAAGATCAACGTATTTAACTTGTGATTAATTGCTTGTTTGTT